TATTTTCCTTTGTAATTAATAAATAATGGTGGGGAGATAATTTGAGATTATGAAAATATCTTATTCCCTTACTCACAATCCACACATCTAGCATCTGTTGATATATCTTGCTTGAATCAATTTTTCCTATGATGGTTGCAAAATGAGGTTTTCCCAATGCCATCATTCTTTATATATTTCTTAGAAAACATTCTATTTTAAAAAGCTGTCATTACTTATTTACTTATTTATTTATTAGCATGAGTACATTATTTCTTATTTTATTCAATGGGTTGTAAGCTAGCACTATAATTGATTTTGATGCTCAATTTTCCTGAGATTTGGCCTGTGGGAATCCTGTTGGCTCTTTCAATGTGGCTTCCATCATTTAACAGAGCAATTCCTTACTTTCTGGCACAAGATGTTCTAGGCTCATCTTATGTCTTCCTTTTCCCAGGCCCAGACTCAACAATTTCTCTAAGGAACTCTGATTTTTTAAAATGATATTTCAAATTCAAGTTCTGTTATGAGTTGTACTCTTTCATTGCTACTGGAGTTTTATTATTTCTAGGTCTTTTCAGTGATAACATTAGAAAAACATGTTTATGCTGGGCATGGTGGTACATGCCTGTAACCCCAGCAACTCAGAAGGTAGAGGCAGGAGGATTGCAAGTTCAAAGCCAGCCTCAGCAATTTAGTGAATCCCTAAGCAACTCAGTGAGACCCTGTCTCTAAATAAAATACAGAAAAGGGACGGGAGATGTGACTCAGTGATTAAGTGCCTCTGGGTTGAATCCCTAGTACCAAAAGCAAACAAACAAACAAAACAAAACAAAGAAAAACATGTTTATTAGAAATGATGAATTCATAATTATGCTTCATTCTCATGTCAAGGTTATTCCTTGGCTTTTCTATAAAAATATTTACTTTGAAATTTTTTCAAACAAATACTCATTTACTTAGTCCTGTAATTTATACCAACCAGTTTCAGTATTGCTATATCCATAATACTCTGAAAAATAAACCTATTGAGAAGAGTTCAAGATCTGAATGCACTCATTTTGTTTTAGATTATGTGTGTGTATGTGTGTATAAATTATATAGAGTTGAAGTTTTGTATTCCCAAGTTACTTGGAATAGTTTTTTCCTACTTTCCCCTACCTCAGGTGACTATGCTCTTCAATTGAAGTACTATTGAGTCCATTTGCTTCTGTTTGTTTTTTCCTCATCCCTGTTTAGCTAATTTTATTTTCTGAATACAAAAAATATTATATGATTCAAAAAAATCAGAACTATATTAAAAGATATATTCAAAGATGTACCATTTCTTCTCCTACTCCTTCTACTCAATTAGCTTCCCCCACTTCTTAGAAGTAATCAGTTTTATTCATTTCTGATGTATCCTTCCTGTGATTCTTATCTTGGCCAAAATAAGCAGAAAAAAAAATGGAATGTGCATGAGTTTGCATGCTATCCTTGTGCAGGGACCATGCTTGTCTCTTCTGTATGATTACAATTTCAGTGTATACAGTACTGAAATAAATACTTAATGTGCTTTTAATAGTAGCTGGAAGTAAGAGTAGGTCAAAGTAAGAGTAGAACAGTAATAGGATTCAAGGGCAAGGGGCAGGACTCCAGATTGGGGAGGCAGTACAGTGTAATGAATAAAGCTGGGACTGTAGAATCAGACAAGCCTGTGACGCTGGGAAAGTCATTGAACCTTTCTGAATCTTCTCTCAAATATTAGAACCTATCTTATAGGGTTATTTGAGATATAAAGATAATACATGAAAATACCTGACAGTGTTCTTAATTGGTAGCTAATACTTTAATCATAAAACTAGTAACAATAAATCATTACATAATTAGGAGAGAGAGAGAGAGAGAGAGAGAGAGAGAGAGAGAGAGAAATGGCAGATAGATGCTTTCTGTAGTTTTCCACGATTCTCACAGGTGAAACTCCTCAGGTGAAAAGACAGTGGACCTAAACAGTCATGATTTTAACATCCAGGTCTCAACATTTCCCAGGACAAAAAGTACATACATAACTTCATTAGAAAATTTAAAGAATGCTTATAATGAAACCAATTTCTAGTCTAGTCTGAGACAGGAACTGGAAAATATGTCCTGTAAAGGGCCAGATAGTAAATATTTTGTGCTTTGTGGGTTGTACAGCCTCTGTTGCAACTACTCAATTATGTCAACGACTTAGTCACCATAGCCATGGGCAATACTTGAGTGAGTATGGGTGTTTCCCTGTGGGACCAACCTTACTTACAGATACTGTGATTTAGGTTTCATATAATTTTCACATTATAAATATTGTTTTGATTTTTAAAAACCATTCAAAAAAGAGTAAAAACCAGCTGAGGTAAGTGGTACATGCCTGTTGATCCCAGAGACTTGGAAGGCCAAGGGAGGAGGACTGTGTTTGAGGCCAGCCTCAGCAACTTATTGAGTCCTTGTCTCAAAATAAAAAATAAAAAGGACTGGGGATGTAGGTTGGTGATAGAGCACCCCTGGGTTCAGTCCCCATTGCTACCTCATTCTTCATTCTACCTATTTAGGAGGCTAAGTTCCAGGTAACCCATTCTATAAATAATCAATGTCTCCAAGTTTGCTTCTAAATCTGGCCCAACTTCTGGTTTTTCTCTCTAAGTTTCTCATACTGATTTTCCCTTCTTTCATCCCAGATTCTCTGCCTGGATTCTCACCCTGCTGTCTGCTCTGACTCCTGGTAACTGCCTTTCCTCCTTTGGTCTGGGTCCTCTTCTAGTGACAGTTATACCTACTCAGTAGCCCGGGCAATGAGAAATTGCTATTACTCCAACCTTTATTTCAGGAGTAAGGGTGAGGTCTTTTACTTATTAATTTTATATAATGCTTATTTTTAATAAACTCATAAAAATAAGTCTGAAAAAGTAAAAATAGCATGTGGTAGAACACTGAAATTTGCATGGTATAATTAATCAAATATAAAATAGTTTCAAGCTATATCAAGAGATAAATTAGAATAAAAGGTAAGAAAACAGTCCAAGTTAAATTCTTTAATACCTTTAAAATGGTTATGTAACAGCATGTTTAAATTTTTTTCTTTAGACTCTAATCTGTTGCTTAATCTTGTTTATTTTTCTGTGGCAGTTTAGAAAATGTAGTTGTATTGAATGGTATGTTCTGATTACTTTTGTTTTTGTTAACTATGGAAGTCTAATAAGGATTTCTAATAAAACAATGCCAGATTATGCAATTTCTGGTTTCTTTGCTTTATAATTAACAATTTGTCATGATAAATAATAAACTCTGTTTAAATTGGTATTATTTTCCATTTGCATGTAGTGTGCTAATACTGTAACAATGAACATAGCAAAATTCTTAAAATTTAAGTGTAAAAAAGGAAATCTACTCACATTTTTCATAAAAAAATCCCAACCTTCTCAGGTTCATCTTTTATAACTTTTTTTTTTTGATGATGGTATCATGGAGATGCTGAGGTACATGAGATCAGTTTCTCTCATTGGACACAATGATCAATCAGAAGATGTTACACGTCCATGTGGCAAGGATGGGGAATACACCAGCTTTTTTGAAGTAGCAGCAGCACCTGACGTTTGTCCTGTCATTCCTGTGAAGGATTTGTGACTCCTGAGGCAGCTGATGGCCTTTATTTTGACCCACTTCTTGTCACTGTGGAAGTACTTGTACATTCATGCAGGAGTGTTACCCTTGCATAGTTTTCTAGAGCTCTTGTCCCTAAAATCCTTTCAGAAATTCTTGGTGCCATCTTAGGAGCCTGTATGAGTCAGGATTCTATAGAGGAACAGAATCAACAGGAAGTATAAGTGGGATCAGTGGTGCTATACTAGACTGAAGGCTTCTGGAGAATCACTGGCAGAGTCAGTTGATTGCAGCAGCAATCAAAAACCTATTCAGGAAGAATCAAGCTTGCATCTGCTGCTGCTTCCTTGCTCTTCCAACTTACATTCCATCCAATTCATGGTCCTATTGGATGGTGCCACTCATGCGTAGGGAGGGTCTCCACTTCAGTTGATTATCCCACATGCTAAGATACATCCTCATTGATACACCCGAAAACCTCTTACTCATTGGCATTTCTTAATCCAATCAAGTTGACAATTCAAATTAACCATTACAGGACCTTAGATCTAATACTGAGACTCTATATAACCGATGCATTATAGAGAAGATTGAAGAAAGATGAGTTTCACGTTTCTACTTTAGTCTTGAGTTCTCATCTAAAATAGACCAAGGAAGAACAATAGTATAAAATCACTCTTACTGACTCCCAAATGATAACCACACTTATCTCTTATTACGTGTCAGTCTTCTTAGTCAAGATCATACCATTTGAATCTTTGCATTTGTAAATAAGGTTTAAAAAATGTAGCCAATAGAAAAATCTTAAGCTTTATATTTCTGTAGTGGGTCTCATGTTGAAATGATTCAACAATCATTTACAGAAGGATTTTCTGTGCAGGCATTGTGCCATGTAAAGGACTACAATGATGTGTAAGACTCTCTGTCCCCAAGGATATCACAATTTAGCTATGGTAAGTGAGAAGAAAAGGAGCAACTGCACTGTGATTTGTTGAATCTAGGACATCACTTGGTTTTCCTCAAGCCTCCGTCTTCCTGATCTACCAAAAATGTTGTTAGAATTAAATTAAATAGCAAGTGTAAAGTGCTTAGCTTAAAGCTCAGTGTATATAGCAAAAGTATTGTAGAAGATGACAGTGGCACCTTACTCATTCCTGTGGGAGGAAGTTAGGGAAAGCTTCCCAGAGGACGAGGTAACTGTGAGGTAATTGAATTCTGAATGATAAAGAAGATGAAGAATGATTGGCAGTTAGATGGTATGGTTTTTTATTGTTTGGTCTTCCTTCTTTAACTGAGCCTTAGCTGCATTGTTAGTATGTCAATACAATGGATATAATATGTCAGGAGCATGAAAAGTAATGCCACAGAGTTATTTTTTATAACATCATCAATTTTCTTTCTTTCAGAGAATTAAAGATGGTAGCATTATTGACTCAGTTAAAACAATCTGTGTGGGGGATCATATTGAATCCATAAATGGAGAAAATATCGTTGGGTGGCGTCACTATGAAGTTGCTAAGAAGTTAAAGGAATTAAAAAAAGAGGAACTCTTTACCTTGAAGTTAATAGAACCCAAGAAGGCATTTGGTAAGTTTTGTGTGGGTGTGCGTGTACACGAATCATCTCTTCCTTTCATCTAACTTTTCAAGGAAACGAGTACTGTTATGTGATGCCATGTGCTTTTAGTATTTCATCTTATCTAACACATCAACTTGGGACATAGAGAATGACAGAGCGCTGTGCTTACAGGGACAGCAACTACTGAAGGAGGAAAAATAAAGCCTTGTAGAAGGACATTTTCTAAACAAACATTTGGAATGACAAAGACTAATGTCTAGTGACTAAATTTGATGTGGCTGTTCCAATCTCTGAGAATAGCACATTGTATTGTTTTCATTTTGCTGAGCAGTAAGATTTTTGATTGAGCACTTTAAACCATAATAACTGTTGTTCATGGACCTCAGCAGCAAAAAGTTTTAGTTATACACAGAATTGGTATTTAAAATAGTTATCTAGTCTATTTTAAAGACCTCCTTCACCTCTACTTTTCCTCCATTGGCATTTTGAATTTGGCAGCTTGGAACAGTATGAAATTACTCCCTGGTTGATGTGACATCTGTACTTGCCTAGTTTTAGCCAAGGCAGCTGTATTACAACTGTCGTTCAAACCCCCAGGGCCATCTCATCTACATGAGAATGTGCCAGCTTCCCTCTCACTACCCAGCACTATTTTAATAAGCCAGATGAAGGCCTTGTGTTCACCAGTGTTAAAATATCTTTGGCAGAATCATTCCAAGCCTGCCCTTACTCATCCGTGACCCCACCCACCCCATGTTCTTTCCTTTGCTCACAGAACACAAATATGCCTTCTAGTTGTTTCTAATGCCATTTTCTCAAGGCAGTTAGTGAAAGTGGTGGGAGAATGTAGTGGGTCCGGGGAATCACATTTTCCTTGTTTTAGCAAGTAAGCTACATCTATGGAATCAGGAAGTTTTCTCTGCTCCCACAATTCTGTGCCACTTAATGGAGATATAGTAAAGGTTACATTGCTTGTGGGAGATGGAGTTCCATAGCAGGTATAAGAAAAGAGTGCCTTCTGCCTGTGCTGCACCTTGAGGGAGCACTCTAGGAAGCTGCTGTGATTCTGCCTGGTACCTGCAGCATCTGCTCTCCCTCCTACAAAAGAAGGCCAGTGGCCCCCAGGCTGCTCTCCAGCAGCTTCTTTTGGAAGGTCTTCGTTTGGTAGTCCAGCTCCCCCGATGGCGTGGCATATGGACTAATAGGGCAAAGGAGATTTGAGATAAATATTCTTATTTGATTTAGGTTTTTTTGTAAATTAAAGCTATTCTCTTAGTACAACTGAAGAAATATGAACTCTTCCTATATTTTTTTCTAACATATATTGTGTTTTCCAGAGTTAGTTATTTTCAGTTATTTCCTGTTTATGCATATATATCTTTTGGTTCTTTTATCTTTGTAGAAAGTTGCTATTTGTCTGAGTGTTACAGATGTTATTGTATTTAGCCATTATTGTCCTATAATTATAGTTCTCTCTTTGATATCAGAGACATGTGACGTAGTTAATGTACTTACTTAAGTATCTAGCTACTATTGAACCTGCTCCTTATTGTCTAGTGAATTTCACAGATATATCTGAGATGCACCCTGGCTAGGATTTTTTGGATAGGGGTATGTATTTCAGTATCTCAAATTCTGTTGGTGCTGTGGGCTAGGATACCTGGAGATTGATTTTGGAGCAGTGATAGCTTTTTGTTTTCAAGCCTACTAGTCTACATTTTTCCTCTGTGGCTTGACCCTTGACTCTAGCCCTAGCCTTAGAAGAAAGCTTTACTGCTTTGCCCATCCTCTAGCCCTTAATTTTGTTACTTTTCTTTTTGCTTCTGGGATAAAGGCAAAGCTGGTCTGTTTCTCATCCTCTGGCTTCATCCCAATGCTTAGTTCTTTGCCAGGGAGGGAGATTATATCAGAAGGTACTTGGGGGATCAGGCTTCCCCCAATTCTCTTGGTTGCAATCTTATCTTTTGCTATGTTTCCTTCCTTTCTCCTTGTATTTTCTAGCATTATCATTGACTCAGGGCCAAAAATTCAAATTTCATAACCTTTTATTAATTATCTGCCTCTCTATTATCTAGAATTTCTACTAGGAAACAGGGTCAGTCTAAGTCAGGAAGGGTTTTTTTTTTTTTGTACCAGGGATTGAACCCGGAGGGGCTTAACCAGTGAACCACATCCCTAACTTTGCAACAGGAGCTTGCAAAATTGCTTAGGGTTTTACTAAATTGCTGAGGCTGGCTTTGAAATTTTGATCCTCTTGCCTCAGCCTCCCAAGCTGCCGGGATTACAGGTATGCACCACCGCACCTGGCCCATTTCTAGGATCTTACCAAGAACAGTCAGAAGTGGCCACATACTCCAGTATTTTGATATTTTCCTACCAACTTCCCTACAGGTTTAGGCAGGAGAGGCATGTGAGTGAACTATATCCTCAAATACTTTGTTCTGCCATGGCATAATAAGGATTGTGAGCACAACATCTTTATAGCAAATAGGGGAATCCTTACTACCTGATTCCATTTCCATATTTTAGGACCACTACTTCCACATTCCACTTCTAGAGGCCCTATATATGTTAAGATTCACTATGTAATTTAAGGGAAAAGCATTTGTTGGAAATCTACCAGGTAGGTCTCAAACAAAAATAGTTGATCAAGCCTTGGGAAAGTCAGTAACTTTCAGGGATGTGTATACCAGGAAGCTTTAATGGCATAGGATTGATGGACTTCCCTCCAATGATTTTTCATGTCACTCTACATAGGATTCAAATTCCTAGAATGTGGGGGAACTGATTATGTCATTTGCCCATCCTGAAACTGGGGAAGGCAGACTATGTGATTGATAGCTCTACCAAAATCACACAGAACAGAGAGGGGGAAGTTTCCTTTTGGGTAGGAAAAAAGCAGCAGATGCCCAGCTTATCCTTTATCCTACACTGTTACTCCTTGTTTTGAAGGCAGAGCAGTGTTGGTTTTCTTTTAACCTTGAATCTGACTCTAGCCAAGCTGTCTGCAAATATTAGAATAGATCTGGAGAGAAGAGGATATTGTCAACGGCTTTGGATATCTGTCCTTAAGGATTTCATTTTTATGCTATGAATAGAGTGCCACATAAATAGGTGTTTGGCAGTGAACTAGCTAGAGATGATGACAGCAACAAACACTGTTTCTGGGAAAGAGTAAAACCTAATTTTTCTTGGTGCTGGCCATGGGATTTTGAGGCTACAGATTTGGACTGTACTTCTGGGAAGTCCTTCACTTTTGTATCCCACACATGATTTGCTGAGAATCTCCTGTGTTCCAGGTGTTCTGATAGGTGCAATGGAGCCTAAGAAGGAAACCCAAGTTCCTGCTTTTTGAGGAGCTCACAGTCCAATAGGTAGTTATGGACTGAATTGTATCCTACAAAATTCGTATGTTGAAATGCTAATCACCAGTCCTTCTGAATGAGACCGCATTTGGAGTTAGGGCCTTTAAAGAGGCAATTATGTTAGAATGAGGTCATTAGGGTGGACTCTAACCCATTCTGACTCGTGTATCTATGAGAAGTGGCAATTTGGACACAGACACACTTAGAGGAAGAATGCTATTTGAAAATGAAGTTAGGCATTTATTTATAAGCAAAGGAGAGTGGCTTCAGAAGAAACCAGTGCTGGGGACACCTTAATCTTGTACTTCTAGCCTCAGAACTATGAGAAAATAAACTTATATTGTTGAAGCCACCCATTTTGAAAATTAACACAGAGGCCAATAGGCAAGGATAAAAAAGTACAATGCCAGGTCTTTGGTAGGGGAAGTAGATCTTGAACTCCCTAACAACCCAGAATGGACTGGTACTTTAGCAGTTGTCTGGCCCTGGACAAGTGGCAAGAACATACTGATATTTCAGCTCAACACTTCTTGAGCATTTAGAATATACTGGTATTAGGGTGCTAATTACCCTGGATAATAATAGTCACCGTTACTGAGAACCTACTGTACACCATGACCACATTACGTACTTAGTACATGCTGAATAAGATCCAGATCTTATTCCAGTGAGAGGAAATAGACATGAAAAGAAAGACGTTCAATAAAGGGTTTAGGTGTATGAAAGTGGGAGGCATCAAGTCTACATAAGGAATTTTCCCTACTGAAGGGATTTGAGAAAGAAATCAGGAAAATAACTCCATTCACAGTAGCTTCAGCAGCAGTTGCCACACTACCACTTAGGAATAAATCTAACCAAGGAAACACCTCTACAAGGGAAATTACAGAACAATGGAAAAAGAAGATGACACTGGAAGATGATCAGACCCCCTCCTCCCTACCCCTGCATGTTTATGGATAGGCTGAATTAATATTGTTAAAATGATTGCTGGGAGCAGTGGCACATGCCTATAATCCCAGTGCCTCTGGAGACTAAGGTATATGGATGACATATTCAAGGACAATCTCAGCAATTTAGCAAGACTTTCAGCAGCTTAGTGGGATCTTATCTCAAAATAAAAAGGGCTAGGAATGTAGCTCAGTGATAAAGCTCGCTTGGGCTCAGTCCCCAGTACTGAGGAAAAATAAAAAGCTATATTATCAAAAGTGATCTGCAGATTCAATGCAATCCCCATCAAAATATCAATGACATTCTTCACAGAACTAGAAAAAGTAATCCTAAAATTCATATAGAGGAACAAAGACACAGAATAGCCAAAGCAATCCTGAGCAAAAAGACCAATGCTAGAGGCATCACAATACCCAGTTTCAAATGATACTACAGAGCTATAGTAACAAAAACAACATGGTACTGGTGTAAAAACAGACACATAGACCAATAGAATAGAATACAAGACACAGAGACAAACTCACACATCTGCGGTTACCTGATTCTTGACAAAGGTGCCAAAATACATTGGAGAAAAGACAGCCTTTTAACAAATGATGTGGGGAAAACTGGATATCTATATGTAGAAGAATGAAACTAGATCCCTGTCTCTCACCCTGCACAAAAGTCAACTCAAAATGGATAAAAAATCTAGGT